AAGTTCCCGGCGCGCACCAGCGTGGAGGTGGGGTTGGATTTTACGCACCAAATCCTCACACGCACAATCCTCATGCAATCGCCACTTATTATTTTTTGCGAGTATTTAGATCAGTCTAGATAACGTTCACACTTAAACTCACTGGGCTTGTTTTTGTATGTCATCATTTCTTCCGATCTCATTAACTATCTATGTGAACTTATGAAAGTACCAAATAACCCATTGCTTTCACGCACGGATGATTAGTTTCTGTGCACACTCGAGGATATTTCTGGCCCCCAAAACTATACTTTCACCTCTTCCGTTATTGATCCATCATTGCACAATAGACTTCCTAGATCCACTTCTCCATGACTCTTTCGGAGACTACGCCTTAGAGAAAGAGGTCTAAGGCACCTGCAACGTTAACGCAAAGATAATAAACAATAGTATTACGACGGAGTCAGTTGGCGTGACTCAGGAAAAGATACGTCTGATTGGAAAGTGTGCCTTCACTGTCCTGAAGCACGATGAGGTAGGATTCTAATGTCCTGACCCTCCGTGGATGGCAGTTTCGGTGAGCAAAGAATAACCCCGCCTGCCGACATCATCGGTGGCCATATGGTAATGAACTGCTTTTTCTGAAATGACTAGGTGATACTGTGCCAGATTAGAAGACCTGTAACTGAGAAAGATCAGTTACTCAAAGTTTAGACCAAAGAAATTCAGAAAAATCCAGCAGGTCACCGGACTTGCTAATCATTGACCTTGCATTTATTGGACGAAACAGGTCTTTTTGGATGGTCGTCGGCGTACCAAAATGGAGTAGATAAGTGACACCCAACCATTTCCAAGTGTTAAGAGTCACATACGCCAACAACAAACCGCATTTTTTGAACTTTCCGTGAATCTACCTATCTATTGTTTAAGACTTAGCAGAAAAATCGACCCTGTAAACCATCCCTTGAGGAACTAGTATTGAAGAAGCTAGATGTTGTCGAACAACAGGAAGTCAGTGAGGGAATAGCTAGCCATAGTGCTACCTGTCGGTTTATACCGTAAGCTTCACCATAGTACAAAGTGTGGAACACTGCCGTCCTGCCCTCAGTCAACTTGTGCCTAATACGTCTACGACCATGCCTAATCTAGTCTGCCTCGATGATGTCACAGATTTCACCTGTCCACTCGTGAGGATCCTAGGCAGCAGACATGGGTAGCTCAGCCTGAGCTCTTCGCGAACGACGAAGGCCGAATGCCTAAGG